TGTCTCAGTGTACAAAAAGAGATAATAGCCCTATGTGTTGGCTTCTAGCAGGTACAGGGTAGTTTAACCATCCTTATCGATAAGGACTATCACTGTTCCAATGGAAAATCACTTGAACTCGCTTCAAATTAATGCAAAAGTATTTGTCATCTCTATCACACAGACAGTCAGACGCTATCGGGCACAAATGGAAGCAGCAAACACCAGCCTTGGCTTTGCCAGTGGCCACTGCTGTCTGAGACAACAGTGTGGGCTACTGTGCCTTGTACCTACAACCTGGGATTCGATCTGACGATTTTAGTACTCTAAGCATAACCAATGCTTTGACACTACAGGCACAACAACAGGCATTAAATCTCTCGGTCTAATATCTGTCACACACGGGTTCTAATTGAACCAAAGTGGTAGGTGCCGTAAACTGCACACCGAGAGGATGGCATTGCAGTCTTTCCCAGCGATGACAGAGTTATTGCAACAGCTGGCTGATATATTTTTCACGAACTTTGACGTGCTGTAAGTAATTCATTAAGTTACTAGGAGTGGCGCACCAGAGAAGGCCTCATTCTTATCTAGCGTCTGCACCAGTGTTCGAGTCTTTCTACAGACCGACAGTACGGTTGCGCGCAGTGGCTAAAGTGGCATGACAACCTCTGTCTACGCTTGGCACACACGTGCAACAATAATTAAGGAGTCACGTATATCCCGACCAACGCATTCCATAGGAACATGATGCCCATTTTTTGCAATGCGTGACTACAAAATGTTCCGTCGGGGGGAGGAGGAACAGTTAAAACTATTTGGGACTGCTTGCCTGGTTGTGGGTTGTCTCAGTGTCTAATACCATTCATCCCAGTCGCCCAATAACTGGGCTCTTAACGGCTAACAGGGGGTCTGATTTTCAGCACGGCACAGCACTCTTAACCTTAAATTCCCTCTTAGTCACAAGCCGAAGTAAAAACAGTTGCTAAGGTTTATGGTCAGCTCAATGGTACTGCGCTAGGTAGCCGCTTCAAAATCATGTGCAACCGCGTGTTTATCGCTGAGCAGCCCAAACAGAATTTAGTTGCCGGTTACTGTGAACCATACACGGGTGTAGGTGTTTACCGTGCAAGTACTTGCAACCTGTTGACCTCCATCATAAAGAAATCCATCTCCTAGCATTGTGCGCAGTGACAGAGCCCTAGTACTAGACTGCACCGTTGTGTTAGACCATAAATCTCGCGTGGCTTGCCATAAACGGAGGCGCCAGGCCACCTCAACCACTGCACCCCAGCTCGTTTCTAGTTGACTTGCTTCTAATACATAGGAGTGAGGAGTGGGTTTGCCCAATTTCGTCGCAAACCACCAAACGCACTTTTAAATTACCATGCGCTTACAGGGTCGGATGGTTTGGAAGGTTGTCTACTGACAGGATAACTGTCCCACTAAGGACATAAGATCAAGCTGCACAGACTCCTTAATTTGGCCATTAGGACGGTTTCACTTCTGAGATCGGAGACTTGAACAAAACCTGATGCATGTGAAGATAGGCTTCGAGCCGTATTTGGTACACGTTAACGGACCATTTAAAATTACGTTCGGGAAACCTTAAATTCGTGCGGCATAATCTCATGACATTTCGGACACGCCCGAATGTCGGGTTTTAAATACACTTCTTTTCGGCTGGCTGCTTACACCACACTCGATAAAAAAATCTGCTTAAGTAGTATGCATTTCTATTTTAATCAATCTTAGGCATATTCATTCGAGACTTTTGTTGTGAACGTTCACTTTTCTCAGCAAAGAGTTGACATGTTTGGGTGATTCTAAAACTATGACCCAAAAAGACAGCCGCAATATATGGCATGTTTAAAAGTTTGAAGTTTTCGATTAATGCATAGAACAAAATCGGTATTTGGGGATAATCGAAAAAAGAACACTGAAATTCATAGTGCTAACAGAATCTCAAAAACAATCTGAAGCCCGTCGCATTTGAACTCTCGAAATAATTACGAAGGAATTTGACGGAATGAAATCTCTCTCAATGTACACAAGATATTATAATTACGATTGAACTTTACAAATTAATTTAAATTTATTAGTCACTGACCAGCATGTCTGTACGTACTCCTGTGACCTAATCGGCACAATCGGTTGCCTTAGTCTAACATAACTCAAGCAATGATAAACGGAAGAAACAACTAGCAATTCTCGTGAAACCATGTTGGAATGCATACTCGAACTTTGGGCTGTTCGGTAATAGCCATACATTACATTGCACGTAATATGGAGGCATATGTATCCGAAAATTTTACAAAACAATTATTTTCCAAAGTAATTCTACTTGCGCTGCTTTATTCACTCGGTTTTTTGCATGAACAGGCTTTCTATACATTTAATACTTAACTTTACCTAGTAAGCCTGGTTTTTACTTTTTCAATATTTTCCGCTTTTCTAAAAAGCTGGTATTTCTA